CAAAAATAAATATTGTAATTTATTTATACCAACTCCAATGACTATTCATTATAAAATTCAATACTTAACATACTTATTCTCTACCTTCAAGCTAAAAAAACTATCATACTTTTTCGAACTAATCGATTCTACTTACAAACTAAAACCATACATATCTAATCTTAGAACATATTACACAATATGAAAGCTAAGTATAGCTTACAACATATACAACGAATGTTCCCGCACAAAGTGCGAGTGAAAATCTAGTAGAACTTATATTAAACAAAGATTATCTCATGATTCTCTCTCGCCATGGAAATTGTTTTTTTTTTTTGTTGAAATATTAAATTTATTTATCAACAAAAAAACTGATTACAAACTATAGTCTTTTGACTTTTTAATCCAAAAGAAACTAACTATTTTACGCATTAAAACAGTTTTAAGCATTAAAATAGAGCATATCAAGAAGATCGTAGCAGAGAAGAGCTATTCGTGTGCTGGTTGAGGTAGACCGTTGCCTAAACTGGGAGTCTAGAAATAGCAGTCCAGCGGTTAAGTCCGTCGTCATCTTCGTCGTCATGACCGTTGCCTAAATTTTTTTCGAAGAAAAATATCGAGGCATGGTGGAAAAGTCTCCAATTCTATCATGTTTTGGATTTATCTTTAACTTGGTTTTCTTGCTTGTGCACCAAGGAAGTAATGTCTACCGGTTGTCAACGCAGTTTGGCTGATCAAGAACGTGGAGACGCCAGAAGCTCAGCCACTCGAAGCTTATGAGATGGTTAATGATCTATCAGCCAAGACATCGCTTTGTGTCTCTAGGGTCCAACTTGAGAAAACTGATTTTTGCTTCATTTTTTCGGTTTAAAATATATGGGAATAGAGTGGTCTACGCTGGCACAAAACTTCGCAAAAGAGAAGAAAATATTTTCGAGAAAGATGGGTTTTGTACACTCGTGCTTTCTCAATGGCGTAGTAAGCATCGTTTTGTGCAAGCTAATAATTGTATCTAGGAGTAACCTAAAAATGTATTTCAAGAGAGGAAAAGTAAGAGATGATCATAAGAGTGCTCGAGGAATGGGAGGATAAAGAAATTGCGATCCAAAAAGTTGTGAGTTCGTTAAAGATATANTATGGAACGAATACGAACAATGAAAATGTATAAACAATANTGAGAACAAACCTCTTCTTATTCTTCTCAGTTTCTCCTATGCTAGGTTTCCACTCAGAAGTAGCCAAGTTCATCATAANAAGAGAGATGTTAATCAATCCTTTCTTAATGATTGATTTGGGATGATAATGGTTTATAAATAGGGAGGAAGGTGATAACGGAGAGCTTCGTCAGAAGCACGAGGAGACATAGGAGATGTTAATTTGTAAAGTTAGAATAATGTGTTTGAGAGGCTCGAGAAGAACGGTGTGCATTATAAGTTTGTAGTTGATCCCGAAGGAAGCAAACCTGAAGCTTGATGCCTTGATTTATGAAACTCGAGAGTCGATGATTTTTTACATACCCGATTTAGATTATTTTTGTTGTTGTGAGTTTTAAATGGTGTTGTCTCTGTTTTTTATGAGAAAATAGAAAAAACAATAAAATGGTAGCGGGATCAAAACGTTTTAATTTGAGCATTTTCAATTATGTTCGGACAAAAATGTGAGTAAATTAAAATTCAATTAAAAACACGTGAGTCGTCATAGGATGGATGAGGAATTTGAGATGAGAATTTAGTTTGCTTACGATAAGCTTCATCATTATATTTTATAGTAATAATAATAACATCATTGTAGTTTTCTTAGATTTGATATTTTCCCAAACAGTAAAGTAGTAAATCTATGGAACTTAATTATAATGATGCAGAAAAAAAAATGATAGGCCAAAACAATATAAATGCTGAAACATAGTTGTATGAGAAGGAGAGGCACGACTTGATAATAAAAGCACACGTCACAACTAAACGGACACCACACACTTAACACATGCCAAAACTAACCCTATTTTTTAAAAACTAAACGATATATCTACACTACCCAAATTTTATTATATATGAACTATATCGAACCATCATTTTGTTTAGTTTGTGAGGGTCAACGCTCCCCTGGGGTTAAATCTCCCCTAGGATTAAAGCTTTCCTCTCTTAGGGTTTAATTTTTTTATTTGCTAAAAAAATTATTTGTAATATATATGTAAAATTTTAAAAAACATATATATAAGGTATTAGCATTTAACGAGTGTAGGTTGTAACTTTTTTTTATGTAGTAATCAAACCATGATTAATGTAGTAATTTTTATTAAAACCCGAATGAAACTAATACCTTAATTTTTTGTTCAACGTTATATCCGAACTAATTTTTTAATAGTCGAACTGAGTTTACAGTGTTCGTCGCGGGTTAAGAGTGGTCAATCGATGAAGTTTGAATACAATATCATATAAATCAAAATAATGGTAGGCTATACACTACAAGAATAGGATAGCATTCCTACAAAAATTGTTATAGCTATGAGACAATTTTTGTAGCAAATTTCGATTTGCTATAAGTTTGCTACAAATATCTGGCGAAACTATAGAGTGGTAGCTATGTTGGTTTTGTAGTTATGTGTAGCAATTTTGCTACAAATTATTCACAGATTGATTTTGTGGCAATTTGAATCAACTAAGCTACAACATTAGTTGTAACAAATTTGCTACAACTATGTTACAAATATTACGTAACAATTTCACACAAAAATCTACAAACAAACTGTGGGAAAAACCCACCAATTACGACAAACATTTCTTGCCAATTGCCACAAATATGCTACAAATTGTTACAAATCCAGTATAATTATAAAAAAAAATATTAAAAAATATTTTTTTAGTATGAATATTATGTAATTTATAATTTAATTAATACAATTCTGTTTTAAAAACGATAACGCAATTTAATTTGCAAATCCGAAACCCAATTACAAATCCATGAATCGTCAAATAGAAAGAGAGAAAAGAGTCGAATGTTCTTTAGCAATAACACCAAGGTTCAGGGCTTTTGAGATTACTTCATGAGCCTTCTGATCCTGCTTCATGGGACCAAGAGAAATGTTAGCTTGATGACTATTGCAATAACATACACAATAACTCATCAAGTACGTAATCAAAAATTACAAAAGGAAAAGAGTTTGCATTTTATAACACAACAAGAGAAGAGAAAACCAAGACGAGTAAGTAAATTAACCTTATGCTGCCACAAGCTATGATATTAGGTGTGAAGCCCAAGCTTCGTAGACCTTGAATGCTTTGCTGTGTTGGTTTTGTTTTATGAAAATAAGAGACCAAAACAAATGAAGTATCTCAAGACAAGACTTTCATTTCTGGAAGTATGTACACATACCTGTTTCCGCTGTCACTGCCTTTCGTGACGCTAAACTCATCAGCAATAACATCACTATGCTTGCATAAAACCCATGGTTACTTCAGAACAATGATGGAAGTAAAGCTAATACTCTACATACATATCGATCTATTGGAGCCAATGCTGGTTTTTTCCCTCTTGTTACAAGAGCATATAGAAACTCTACACAAACTAACCTTATGAGCAGCACTTGACTCTAACATTCGACTCCATGTAAGCACGAGCATAGAACTCATTTCCAAGCACGTCTTGTATCATTCTTTTCAACTTATAGATTACTGCTTGCTCAGATAGTTCTCTGACCACCTTAACCTAAAACCATTAGCATAAGAATGTTGGTAATTCAGAACCAAGAGAAACTCATACATAAACAAGAATATGCATGCATACATGCCAAATATCAATCTATTTTCAGGACACGGATGACATCAATTCCATAAAAATCTTACCTAAAAATAGGCCTGGTTAACACATCTTAAAGGAACACCATTGATCTTGAATGGTCCTGGAGAGGATAATCAACAAAGAAAGGATAAGAACAAAGTTTCAAAATTTAACAAACCTCTACGAGGTGTGAGTCGTGTGACAACATCATAGAAGCTCAAGAAACAACCATAAAGATCTGTGTACACACAAAAGAAATATGAAGAGTATGAACTCACCTGTTACCAAAACCAAGAAAAACGACTATCTGTCCCTTAAATCTTAACAAGAAGAAATTTGCAAATCTCCATGAGTCTTACGTTTCAACTAATCCTCCATTTCAAATCCAATAAATCAACGATTTATAATACCAGCAGATCCAAAACAAAAGCTAATACCTAATATACTCTAATCAAAGACACAAAGGTATTTAGATAGAATTCAAATATCAATCGAAGAAGATGGATTACTTTAGCTTAGTAGGCTTTGGTTTGCGTCTGTTAGCGAGCAGTTTCTTAACATCTTCCACCGGATAAAACTTGGCCGGCTTCTCCACCAGAGTTTCGACTTGGACTTAGTGTCGTGACAGGAAAACACTGCCATTTTTTGGCCTTGATTGCCTACAAATTCTCGAGTATTTGCCAACTCCCATGATTAGATCAGGTTCCTCCTGTATACAATCGGGCTTTCTCCTCCAATCCCAAACTGAGCCACAAACAACATTGTTGCAGCCGCGAGTCCACACACAAACCACCACCGTGACCCGAGGCACTAATTTCTCCAGTCGGAAAAGGGAATGCCAGATCTGAGGATATCTCGCGGTGCGGTGAAGCCATAAGAAGAAAGCCCAGAGATTCGCCAAGATCCACCGCAAAACTCCATCTACAGCCTTCGAGAACCACCGGATCTGCCGTACGTTCACCCTTCGAGAACTCCTCACGACCAGATCTGAAATTTCTTCAAGCGGGAGACGTCGCAAAGCCTTACGAAAGCCACCAGCGCCCGCTGAGATTCCTTAGGACACTAGCCTCACCGATAAAACGAAACCTTACAACAAGAGCTTCATCGGAAGGGAGAAATCTCTCCATCGACAAACCAGAATACTTAAGAGAAAGAGTCATTTTTTTGTTTTCAATTATTTATGGAATGAGTAACACAAAAATCTGTCATTTTTAATATCTACAAACATAGTTCGTAACTATTTGCTACAAAACGTTTGTGGTAACTTGTAACAGGAGTTACATATTGCTTCGCAACTATTGTTGCAAAATTTTTCACTCATTTTTTGGGTACTTTTTGAAGCAATTTTGCTACATAAAATAAGTTTGTAGTTATTTGTAATAAATTACCCACAAATTGTTTCAAATTTGCTACGCATTAATAGTTTATAAAATTAGTAGCAAATTGTATCTTTTCGTAACTAAAATTTGCTACAAAATAATGTTGTAGCAAAACATGTAGCTATATTTTCTTGTTCTTGTAGTGATAACAAGATATAAATGCTGGTATATAGTTGTATGAGAAGGAGAGGCGCGACGTGATAATAAAATCACATGCCAAAACTAACCAGACATCACACACTTAACAAATGCCAAAACTAACCCTATTTAAAAAAAAATGATATACACACGACCCAAATTTTACTATATCGAACCATATTTTTGTTTAATTTGTGAGGGTAGCTCTCCTCTCTTAGTTTTTTTTTTGTTGCTAAAAAC